ACAGTGAAGAGACCTGAAAGTGGCACATGGCAGCAGTGTGGCGATGGAGACAGCAGCAATGGGAGGCCGACAGGGACCCATGAAGACTCTTGGACCTGGCAGCAGCATGAGGAGGCGTATATAGGGGCCCATGGCAATTAGGGGCCTGGCAGCAGCTATGTGAGGCCCGTAATCTGCCTGCACCCTATGTCAAAAAATTAACACACCAGCAGTGTGAAGAGACCTGAAAGTGGCACATGGCAGCAGAGTGTGCGATGGAGACAGCAGCAATGGGAGAAAAAATTAAACACACCAGCATGTGAAGAGACCTGAAAGTGGCACATGGCAGCAGAGTGTGGCGATGGAGACAGCAGCAATGGGAGGCCGTACAGGGACCCATGAGAGACTCTGGACTTGGCAGCAGCATGAGGAGGCGGTATATAGGGGCCCATGGCAGATTAGGGGCCTGGCAGCAGCTATGGTGAGGCCCGTAATCTGCCTGCACCCTATGTCAAAAAATTTAACACACCAGCAGTGTGAAGAGACCTGAAAGTGGCACATGGCAGCAGAGTGTGGCGATGGAGACAGCAGCAATGGGAGGCCGTACAGGGACCCATGAGAGACTCTGGACTTGGCAGCAGCATGAGGAGGCGGTATATAGGGGCCCATGGCAGATTAGGGGCCTGGCAGCAGCTATGTGAGGCCCGTAATCTGCCTGCACCCTATGTCAAAAAATTTAAACACACCAGCAGTGTGAAGAGACCTGAAAGTGGCACATGGCAGCAGAGTGTGGCGATGGAGACAGCAGCAATGGGAGGCCGTACAGGGACCCATGAGAGACTCTGACTTGGCAGCAGCATGAGGAGGCGGTATATAGGGGCCCATGGCAGATTAGGGGCCTGGCAGCAGCTATGTGAGGCCCGTAATCTGCCTGCACCCTATGTCAAAAAATTTAAACACACCAGCAGTGTGAAGAGACCTGAAAGTGGCACATGGCAGCAGAGTGTGGCGATGGAGACAGCAGCAATGGGAGGCCGTACAGGGACCCATGAGAGACTCTAGACTTGGCAGCAGCATGAGGAGGCGGTATATAGGGGCCCATGGCAGATTAGGGGCCTGGCAGCAGCTATGTGAGGCCCGTAATCTGCCTGCACCCTATGTCAAAAAATTTAACACACCAGCAGTGTGAAGAGACCTGAAAGTGGCACATGGCAGCAGAGTGTGGCGATGGAGACAGCAGCAATGGGAGGCCGTACAGGGACCCATGAGAGACTCTGGACCTTGGCAGCAGCATGAGGAGGCGGTATATAGGGGCCTATGGCAGATTAGGGGCCTGGCAGCAGCTATAGGAGGCCCGTAATCTGCCAGCACCCTATGTCAAAAAATTAAACACCAGCAGTGTGAGGAGACCTGAAAGTGGCACATGTTTGAGGCATGATTCATGGCGGATTTAGTCAGTTGTGTCAGGAACTGGTGGTTTGAAATCCAGACTAATCCACGCCTGATTCATTTTCACAAACGTGAGTCTCTCCACACTTTGGGTGGACAGTCGTGTCCTCCGCGGAGTTACAATACCTCCTGCCGCACTAAACACGCGCTCCGATGCCACGCTACTGGCCGGGCATGACAGCCTTTCAAGGGCAAATTCAGCTAGTTGGGGCCAAAGGTCAAGTTTCGTTGCCCAGTAGTCAAGGGGATTGTCTACCTCGGTTGGCAGGGTGCTGTCCAAGTAGGCCCAAGCCTGTTGTTTGAGCTCCTGCTCCAGGTCCACCTGATGCTGCTGCTGCTGCTGCGGCTGGTTAGTAGTTTCCTCACTGCGCTGGTGAAGAAAGCTACTCATCATCGACTGCAGACTGAGGCAGCCGCTGCTGGTGGAGCTGCCACTGCTCCTACCACCCCACCCCTCCCCTGCTGCCATGCCAGCGGAACGCGAGCGCACAGGGCCCACAGTGTCTGAGGATGGACGTTGGCGCACAAAGGCAGAGACCAACTGACTACATAGGTGGTTTTTATAGTACGTAATTTTGGCCTCCCTCTCAGCAGGTGTGAAAAAGGCCACCATTTTGGACCGGTAGCGAGGGTCCAACAAGGTGGACAGCCAAAAGTCATCCCTCTGTCTGATGGTTATTATTCGGCTGTCGCTACGCAAGCAACCGAGCATGCTATGGGCCATTTGTGCCAAGGAATGCGAGGGACTCCCTGCCTCCATCTCCACAGCATACTGCCACGGTGCGTCTGGGTCCTCTGTCTCCTCCTCCTCCTCCTCTACCAGATGCTCCTGCTCCTCCACTCCTGTCCGCTGAGTGGAAAAACCACCCATTTCACTCAATAATTCCTGAGCACAAATGTCCTCCTCTACCTCCTCCTCTTCTTCCTGTCCTGCCCCCACAGGGGTCATGTGGCGTTGAGATCTGTGCGCCACGTCTACCGCACCCTGACCAGCCATTGTTAACAGCATTTGTTCCAGGACGTGCAACAGAGGAATGACGTCGTTCATCCCATAGTCCTGCCGACTCACGAATAGCGTGGCCTCCTCAAAGGGCCTGAGCAAGCGGCAGGTGTCACGCATGAGCTGCCAATGGCTGACATCTAAGTTACACAGGGGAGTACCTTTATCCGCTTGTAACATCAGGAAATCGGTGATGGCCTTTCGCTGCTCGTAAAGGCGGTCTAACATGTGTAGGGTTGAATTCCACCTTGTTGCAACGTCGCAGATCAGGCGATGCTGTGGAATTCCGTTCTGCCGCTGCAGCTCAATGAGGGTGTTCTTTGCGGTGTAGGAATGGCTGAAATGCATGCACAGTTTACGTGACATTTTAAGGATGTCTTGCAGTGGGATGGTGGATTTTAGGAACCGCTTGACAACCAGATTGAACACGTGAGCCATGCATGGCGCATGGCACAACCTTCCTTGACGCAGAGCAGACACCATGTTCTTTCCGTTGTCAGTCAACATGGTTCCGATTTTTAGTTTGCGCGGAGACAGCCATCTGTCGATTTCTCTGTTCATTACACTCAGCAGTTCCCTCCCCTGTGTGACTACGTTCGCCAAGGCATACCAGGTGCAGCACAGCGTGACACCGTTGCGCCCTGCACATGTGATATGCCGGTCGGGTAATGGGACTTGGCACGGGGGTGGCGGCTGAGGACACGGCGGAAAAAAGAGGTGGTAGAGGCGGACATGCTTGCTGGACCAAGGACGTGCAAACGTGGAGGCAAAAGCGTCGTGACCTGTCCAAGTTGCTGGTGCGGCTGTGCCGGCACCACGTTCACCCAGTGGGCCGTAAATGACATGTACTGTCCCTGACCGTAGTTACAGCTCCACACGTCGGCGCTGCCGTGCACTTTGGCAGAGACCGACATGCTCAAAGACTGGCCCACCATCTCTTCTACATGTGAATGCAGGGCTGGCACTGCCTTTTGGGCAAAGAAATGACGGCTTGGCACTCTCCACCGCGGCGCGGCACAAGCCATCATTTCTCGGAAAGGTGCTGAGTCCACCAGTTGGAAAGGGAGGGACTGCAGCACCAGCAACTTGGACAGGAGGACGTTCAGCTTTTGCACCGTCGGGTGCGTGCTCGCAAACTGTTGTCTCTTGGATACGGATTCCAAGAAAGACTGTTGACGGAATCCGAGAAGAGGAGTAGCAGGAGAAGGAGCATCTGAACGAGCGGAAGATGCCAATGAGCGACAACTCCCCTCAGCAGAGGTGTTGGAGCCTTGACTGGCTGATAGAGGGCGATTGACGACGTCGGGTGACGGAGCAAGTAACGGAGCGGGTGATGGAGCGGGGGCTGGGGCAGGCAGAACCGCCGTATGTTTATCACGGTTTTCCCAGGCCACCGAATGGTGACGCTGCATATGCTGACGCAACGCTGTAGTCCCAACATGGGCCCCCTGGCCACGCTTGCATTTCTGGCCACATAGTCGACATATACGGCTACGTTTACTTCCTCGGGCGGCTTGAGGAAAAATTGCCACACCACCGAGTAGGAAACTTTGCCCCCGCTACTCTTCACTGGCTGACTGCTACTTCCTCCGTGCGCAACGGCACCACTACTGGCCGTGGTGGTAGGCTGCAGTGGAGCTGGTGCTCTACCCGTGGACGTTTGGCTCCACTGACACTGATGCGACCCTGCTGCTGTCTCCTGGGCAACCCACCGACTGTTTTGCTCGCTGCCAAGCTGCCACCCTCTTCTCCTGATGATGCGGAAGAAATTGCCTGATGACGACGAGGCTGCCAAGTGCGATCAACCTCCTCATCATCAAGTAGGGTCTCCGCCCGCCTCACTACTAGCCCCCTCGGCTGCGTCTGGGTCAGGAGACAGACCTGTCTCTAGACCGGCTACCGAGCCACTCTCCTCGCCAGTACTTGTTCGCTTGGCTGCTGAAAAGGCCGATGTCTCCCCCCGTTCCTGACCGCCCTCTGTTAGCTCTTCCTCACTGTACAGTGGGGCTGAGCCCACAGCATGCGATACTTCGCTTGGTGAGGGAACAGCAAAGGACAGGGGCAGGTAGAGGACACGTGATTTCAGTGGGCTTGGTCCCGGGCCATGCCAACTAACGGTTGTGTCTGACGTACCCACCGACCGTTGGCTGTAGTGTCAGAGGTGACCTGGGAAGAGGAAGACGACCGAGCCAACCAATCAATGACGGCAGGGTTGTCGGTGGAGACACGACCGCTGGATGACACCGGGAGCACTGGCCTCTGGCTGCGAATACTGCTGCCTCGACCCCTTCCTCTGCTGCCACGTCTGCTCGCTCCTAAAACATTGCCTCCTCTGCCACTCCTCTGCATGTTGTCTGACATACTATTTAATTCAACGATTAGGTGTCCCTGAGTAACAATTCTCTGGCACTCAGTAACAATTCTGTCTGTCCCCCTGAGTATGAATTCTGTGGCCCTGAGTAACAATTCTGTGTCTGTGCGAGTAACAATTCTGTGTCTGTGCGAGTAACAATTCTGTGTCTGTGCAAGTAACAATTTTGTGTCTGTGCGAGTAACAATTCTCTGGCACTCAGTAACAATTCTGTCTGTCCCTGAGTAACAATTCTCTGGCACTCAGTAACAATTCTGTCTGTCCCTGAGTAACATTCTGTGGCCCTGAGTAACAATTCTGTGTCTGTCCCTGAGTAACAATTCTGTGTCTGTGCAAGTAACAATTTGTGTCTGTGCGAGTAACAATTCTCTGTGCACTCAGTAACAATTCTGTCTGTCCCTGAGTAACAATTCTCTGGCACTCAGTAACAATTCTGTCTGTCCCTGAGTAAGTAACAATTCTCTGGCTGTGCACTCAGTAACAATTCTCTGGTCTGTAACCCTGAGTAACAATTCTCTGGCACTCAGTAACAATTCTGTCTGTCCCTGAGTAACAATTCTCTGGCACTCAGTAACAATTCTGTCTGTCCCTGAGTAACAATTCTGTGGCCCTCAGTAACAATTCTGTGTCTGTGCCTGAGTAACAATTCTGTGTCTGTGCAAGTAACAATTTTGTGTCTGTGCGAGTAACAATTCTCTGTGCACTCAGTAACAATTCTGTCTGTCCCTGAGTAACAATTCTCTGGCACTCAGTAACAATTCTGTCTGTCCCTGAGTAACAATTTCTGGCACTCAGTAACAATTCTGTCTGTCCCTGAGTAACAATT